TCCACCTGCAGTCTCCGGTTTCCCAGTCACTCCTCCCAGTTTCTATGTGTATCGTATATGTGGTGACTAATGAGCTTGACTCTGACTGTGATCTGAAGCTTTCAGGAACCATTTCAACTTTCTGACCGCAAACCGACAAAGAAGAATTATCAAATGTTCCCTGTAAGCATCCTGCTGTTTCCAGGGAACGGTTAACAGTAAGACAACTCAGCAAGGGAACGCTTGGGGTCACAAAAACTTTTTTCAAAAGCTAGTTTAATTTTGCTTTCTTCTTTCTTTGTTAGGAAATACTGAAATGTGCTGTTCTTGGTCTGGGGAAAAAAACCCAAACTTTACTTTATAAATTGTGGAGAAATTGCAGTGAGACTGTTGTTATGGCAGACTGGGTCTGCAGCTTTCAGCTGAAAAGCTGGAGGTGAATAGTTTGGTTACAAAACCTGAATGGAGACGGTGGTTGAGAAGTTAATCAAAAAACATGAAATGATGAAAAGACCTAAACAACATGCTTTTGAGTTTTTAAGATTTGTCTCTTAAAACATACCCATTAACTCGTTAAACTACCAGAGGGCTTTTATTTTGAAATTTCACAGCATTATAGCATCCCAGTAGTGTTTGATGATTGGAGTTTAAAGAGTTGTAAAGAACCACTTCTGTTCAATTGCAATGTCCTGGAGCTTTTATTTTGAAAATAACCTATTTATTTTGAAAATAGTCGCCTGATCAAAACAATGCATCCATCTTTTATATACAGTCTGTGGAGGCCAAAATCATAAACAACATTTTCGGTCACGATTATTTTACACAACTACCCACTAGGGGTGGGGGAAAAAATCGATACTGCGTAGTATCGTGATATTTCGCTTGCTAATAATGTATCTATACAGGGACAGCAGAAATCGATATTTTGTTACAAAAAAAGGTTTTTGTGCTCTGACTTCAGAGCACGTTGATCCTTTTTCTGAGCAAGAACCCTGACATTCCTTCACTGTCCAAATGTGTTTAACTTTTTTTTGGCATCAATAAACATGACGGTTTACTTATTTTAATTTAAGACATGTTTTATTTTAATTAAGTTTAAAACTTTTTTATTTAATGTAAAATTCTATTTTGTTTTAATTTACTTTCAAATTCTTCAGTTGCTGAAGGGGCTGCATAGTTTTCATAAATAGCTATAATTGTACCAGATGGTTGCATTCAGTTAAGTTGGACTAGACTGTAATACAAACCGTTCAGTTTGTCAACAATAAAACTGACTGAAATGAGAGAAAGACTGAGTGTTTGATATTAGATAAATGAATATTGATAAAGTTTACCTTTATGTACAGAATCTGAATATCGCAAAATATTTTTAAAAATTGCAATAATATCGTATCGTGCGTTAAGTATTGTAGGAATATCGTATCGTGGGATGTATGGTGATTCCCACCTCTACTACCCACAGACTTTGGAAAAACTTTTTTTTTTTGGAAAGACAGATTATTTTTAATTAAATTACCTTTAAATATATAAAGTGAGGGAACTCTGAGCTCCATGAACATTTCTGATGAGTTTATGGTCTTAGTCGTTGGTTTGAGCCAAACAGGATGACAGAGGTGTGAAGGAAAGGAGTGAAGATTTAGGGTGGAGGATCTGACAAGTCACCAGTTTCTCCATCAGGTCCTCCCCTCAGTCATCAAACACCAAGACACCAAAGGATAAAAAGCTCAGATGAAGTCCTCAAAAATCTACATTTGACCTATTAGGTTGAATACATACAACTACATCCATCTTTTATCTACAGTCTATGGTTGAGAAGCACCACCCAGCCTCTGACATGTGTATACTTCCTCTCTCAGACAGTGAGGACCAGCGAAATAGTCCTCATTTCCCTCATCTAAACCACAAACAAAGATAGATATCCACACTCTGACATGACGAGGAGACGGTTTGTTTAAGGTTTTGTGGCGTTACCCAATAACGTCAGAGCAGAATTCAAACAGCATGCAGCTAAAAATACACACACACACACACACACACACACACACACACACACACACACACACACACAGAGAGATAGCTCAGATGCCAGCTGAGAAATGCTTTAGCCTCCTGGGCTAACTTTAGCAAGGCCGACATGAGTAGCGGCAGAGGAGAGTCTCAATATGCTGAACTCTGCGGGGCCAGAAGTATGTGGACACACCTGTGCTCATGCTGAGGGCAAAGTTCAGCAGGTAATAGCAGGATTTAAGCCGACTACATCTGTAAACAATGAGCAGATTAACGCTCCCGCTTCTGGGATGAAGTAAGTCCATTCGTCCACATACTTATGGTCACATGAACAGCTATGACATTGATGTAACGGTGAGTAAACAACCTGAGGCTGAGATAAAAGGCAGTTCTTTGAAAGAGCCGGTTTGTTGGCAGTTTAGTAAACACAAGTTTCAAAATAAAAGCTGAGAAATGCACTTGAAAGCACGCAGACAGCCCCGACTGATCACCTGGATCATCTCGGCGCAGGACTGAGCGGCACGGAGAAACTGGAAACACGAGCCTCAGCTGTGATTTCTCAATGCAGAAACATTATATTAGCGGCTGTTTGGAAACTGACTCAGTAACTGACTAATCACAAATGAAAATGAAGGACTGACAAAAGCAGATGAGGGCAACGTTTTTCCCCCTCAGGCTGATGTAGATACAGTAAACAAAGGCCTGACAAATGTTAACATTGTTATTTTGTGTTAATAAAACACGTTAAAACAAAGATGTATTCCCAGAGAAACTGCTTTACACTGTATGATGAACATTAGACAATTTTAATCCGTGTATACAAAGTAAATACCTGAACAGAGTGAGTCACATGAGCTGTATCTTTAGTGACTTGTAGCAAACGACCAGTTCAGGATCTCAGTTCGGAGTTATCAAGCTTTCCTTGTTTCTGAGAAGCGAACGGATGAAATAAGCTATCATCTGTATGTTTGTGTCGATGCACATGCATGCACAGAAGCATTGTGCTAATGTAAATTACCTTAATGTAAACTCACATAATGCACAATGACCAGTGTAAAGATCTGTTTTTTATTCAGCTTGGTCTAAATGTGTAAATTATTATTATTTTAATATGTTCTAACTAGGGCTGTTCGATATAACGATATATATCGGATGACGATATAAAAACATCTATCGTTTCATTTTACGCTATCGTTTGTTTCGTGGTGTCGCAAAATAAACTGTTCACGGCAATATTTTTTCATTATTTTGATATTTCTGATGGTCACTGTAGTGGCTATATTCATTTCTTAAAGTTCTCTCTTTCTCTTATATTTTATATAACCACACTATGGACGGACAAGCGCCTGTTTTTATGCGTTGTACGTTAGCAACGACGGTAAAACCACCACGTGTCCGCTTGTTTATTTTCCACATAAACCTTTCACAATAAAGCTCAAGATCCTGTTGAGTCTTTTCAAAATAAACTGCATCACGTGAAAGATGCAGACTATTTACGGATGAGAAGCAAAAAAGAGCCACCAGGTGCTAAAAAATAAATCTTAGACTCAAACCTTAGAACAGGCTTTTCCCCGCAGCACGCCGTGTAATAAATACTCACAAAAAAACGGCGGCCGTTACAACTTATGTCTAAAAATGTGTAGTTTCATGCATCTGTTAAAAACTCGACTCCAGGTACGCGACGCCCAGCTGGAAACACTTCACGCAAGTCGAGCTGCCCGAGATTCACAGAATTTACAGAAAATGTTACATTTTTGTGATTTATATCGTTATCGGACGATAAAATTCTTATATCGGGATATGAGATTTTGGTCATATCGCACAGCCCTAGTTCTAACACAAATACAAATTACAGATTATGCAGCACTTATTCAACAACAGCTGGTATAAAGCTGTTGTTACATCACTGTGCACAAAGCGACCAATTAGGTGAGTGTAAAAGTGCTGGAATGCATCTGAGGGCTTTTATTGTGAAATGCAGGAACAGGAAGAAACCCGCTTTGCCAATGTTTAGAAAAAGTTGGTGCATATGTTCTAGTGACAGACATCACTTCTGGATCCAGAAACCAGTGGGCGATGTCGCAGTAGCTGTGTCCATCTTTTATATACAGGCTTCCGTTCTGATGAATGAAAATGTGTTTAAAGTAGATTTAGTTTAGTTTTTGTTATAATTTGATGATGTAATGTTTAATATTTTGCATCAATCCCTGCTGACATCACAGACTTTGTCTTCTGATAATCTTTATCTGATTCAGACAAGACAGCTAACCGAGAAAATAATCTGCAGATTAATCAACAATGAAAATGTTCTCTAGCACAGATTGAGCTCCAACTACCATTTAGCAATAAAACTGCAGATTACCTGAGAATACCAAGAATACCAAAAAACATGACACTGATTATCACAGCCTGACCTTCACAGAGCACTGCTGCAAACGATTATCATTTTCATTATCAGCGGTGCCGCTTTCAAGGTGATGCATCTCATTTAGTCTTAACTCCAGCCCCATTATTCACTTTATAATAAAACAAGAGGAAATAAATCAGCAGGTCTTCCTTTTCAGATGCATAAATCCGCAGAGATTTGCATTCTTTACAGGATTGTGCTTGAAACAAATGGAGACATTTGTGCTCAAAATAATGAAAAATACATTTAGAACAACTAAGACATTTAACATGCGGGGCAAGAAACCCCTCACACTTTAAATTATGAATAAAAATGAGTTGAAATGAACTAAATCCACAGGTTGTTTATTTGTATTTACTTTTCTTAAGTTTCTAAACTTTTATTTACTGTAAAGTTGAACTTCTAAACTAACCGAATCTGTTTTCCAAATGAATAAAAACGACAAATGAATGAAAATATGAATACATGAAAAGAAGAATTAACACTTAAATGGATTAATAACACATAAAGGTGGAAAAGTGCAGTAAAAGTACCTCAGCCATAATAACAGCATTAATAACTATGTGTGCTCCGCTCTGATTGGATCCCGTTACCGGAGATGACTCACCTGTACAGGACCGGAGGAAACCGTGAGTCTCGTGGAAGCCACACGATGCCCCGCTCACTCTCTCTCCATGCCCACCTTCAGTCAAATCAAACAAATAAACAAACAAAGGCACGCGGGGCAGCAGCCTCTCTTGGTTCTGGTCCCGGTGCGGGCCTGTCGGTACCGGGACAGCCGGGCAGAGAGGGTGGGGGTGGAGGGATTTGGGTGGGGGCGCTGCTGCCTCACAGAAAAGTTCCAGCGTACACTAACCGGAGCTGCTCCCGGGAATAACGGCAGCACCGGCGCCTCGAGCTCAACTTTTCTCCGGGCTGACGTCACCGTCCGGTGAGCCCAGGCTGGGGAAAGTTGAGGCCCGCCGCTGGCTGCTGGGGCGGTGAATCACGGCAGCTCCGGGACAGCCCGTCGCTGGAAAAAGTTGCTAATCCGGTGGTCAGTCCGCCTCCTCGCGCTCCTGTCCGCGTGGAGCGGGCCTCGAGCGGCGAGCCGGGAGTGAGCGGAGAGTTTGAACGGAAAAATGGAGGAAAAGGAGAGAGAAGAGAAGGGGAGAGAGGCGGAGAGGCTGGCCGGTGGCCTGGCCGCGCGGCGGGTGAGTGCGTGTGTGTGCGGGCGCGTCCCCGTGACGGAGCTGGGACGCTCACAGACAGACAGACGGACAGAGGTCTCACTCTGCTCGCACACGTGACTTATGATACTTTTAGTTACATTGTAGTTGTCCGCGCGGGACTTTGTAACAAAAACGTAACAAAGTGTTACTTTTACCACCACTGATGAAAAAACTAGTAAAAGCGTTCATCATTAAAGATGCTCATAAGCAACATGACAACCGGAACAAGGAGCTACATTATGGTTGAACACGTCATGCCAGTGTTTCCACGTTGAAATGAAGCTGATCTGAGCTTCTCTATAAATAAGTGCATTACATTTTAAACATGCTTCTCTTTGTGCTCAACTAAAAACCTTTATGTTTAATAAATAACGCACATAATTCAGAATACATACATAATTTAATTAAAAGCTGAAAATCGTCCAGTGCTGCCGTGACAGTGGTGACTTGCTCTGGGATCAGTGGGGAACGTACAGGCATGAGCCGCTAATGAACTCTGAGTCTACAGGATCGCTAACTGAAGGCCTGGTGGAGTGAATCATCTCACTCCGAGACGATCTCTGGCGCCATGTCGTCCCTGATGGTGGAGGAGTTAAAGGAGCAGTCCGTCTGTTTCCCAGACCACAGTCACCCTGAGGGTTGATCAGCTGTTGTAACTGATGCAATCCAAACTGAGTGATTCAATCTAAGATGGACTTCTGAGCAACGCTCCAGAGACTGTAGGAAAACTGCTGTCTTATCATTTTAATCAAGATAGTAAATTCCAGCCACACTTGAACAGAGTCATGTCAAATATTAGTGTTTTGTGGGAAACGTGCAGCATCATGCCTCCGGCAAAGATAAGATCGATGTGATCTTCATTTTTTACAGAAACCATCGCTTTTGATGTCCACTATAATAAAAATTCATAAATTACATTAGATTCAGCAGATGTTGCAGAACTTCATTAAGAATCTGTCAGTTTTCAGGTTCAGAGTAGTGGGAGCTGTGTGCACATTCATGGGTTTACTGCACACAGGAGCTACTGATAGTTAATTTAGCTATTCTTAACAACTGGAAAAATCTGAAAAATACACGACTGTATTTGTGTTAATGGGCAGAGCGAAATATAAGAAATACATCTCTGTGTAATGCTTAAAACTGAACAGCACCACAGTGTGATTAAAGTAAATTAACTTCTCTGTTTGATGAGTAAACACGTTCTTATCTTGTGTCTTTCTGTATGCGTGTTTAAGGTAAAACATCACAAGTGTGCCTGTGTGTGTTTTATGCTGTTTACACAGTCATGCTGTGGCGACTTGACTTCCTTTAACGGACAAAAAGCACATCCCCATAAGACAGGTTATTCCGTTTCTGGGTGAGGACTTTAGGGTGGGAGTCCCGGGAAAGGTTGGAAGTTGTGTGACGTCCTCTGAAATGAAAAAAAAAAACAAAAAAACTACTTTGTGTGTCTATTGTTTCTCTGTCTTTGTGAGGACTGTGGGCAGTCCTCCTTTGGGACCTTTAAAGGACTGCTGGAGGGGTCAGTTCTGGTTTTCAAGGACATGTGACTCTATCATCTCAGGGAGGGTCCTCACAAAGATAGCAGTACGAGCTTGAGTGTGTGCGTGTCTATAAAACAAGAGAAGGTGGAGTCAGGAAACACCTGGAAGTCAGGAAACACACACACACACACACACACACACACACACACACACACACATATACATTACAGAGTTTCTGTCAACATGCTGCTGATTGTGCCTGACCTTTGACCTTCTTGTGACTCATAGCATAGTTGAAAGTGGATTGGTCCACATTTTGCCTCCTTCAGGAAGGCCTGGGATTGTCCTGTGATGTCATAAATTTGAGGTGGAGCTCAGAGGTCAAAGGTCAACACTTTGCCGAGTTAAAGGGAAAACCCCCACAGCTGCTGCGCCCTCTGCTGGACACCACTGAACATTACAGCACAGTGTCTGCATCACTACTGATAGGCAGTCAAAATCAAAACATGAAACTTTATAGAACTCCTACTCTCTGGATTTCATGTTTTATAATGAGGGGTTACAATTATTTGAATTAAATTATTCGTTAAATTATATAATTACATTATATAATTACATTATTTAAAAATGGCCTCAGATATGACATATTAAATTTTGTTCTTATCGATATAAAAAACACATGGACCTGGAGGTTTGAGATGTTCTAGATGTTTGTGGCTGCAGCTGAACTAAACAGTGAGTGAATTTTTAGGATGGCACGAAAATGCATCTTTGGAAAGTAAATAAGTGCTCTTCATTTAACACAAGACAAAAGGAACCAGAGCAAAAATACTTTTTATTAAAAATCCTAATTATCTTGTTTTAATGATCACAGGGAAACTCAAATGGCTTAAATCCAAATCCATTTCATGGCCACTTCCTCAGTACAGGTATTTCAGGATTGCTCCTTAGAGTCCTGCTTCAACTATTCTTTATGTGAAAAAATCATGCATTTGCCCAAAACAAAAACAAAACCTGGCCCCTAACATTTTCACAAAGTGAAATATTATCATTACACAAACTTTAAACTATGTTTTAAAAGGTTTTACTGTTTTTCCCCTCATTTTTGTTGCTGTTTTCCAACCTCAGAGCCACCACAGAGACTCATATAGCTTTGTATTTGTGTTTATTTGATGGCACATATTAACATTGCAGCATTTAAACACGTATACAGCTGATGCAGTGCATACAGGATTTCTAGCCAAAGCTAATTTGTAGGTCTTGCCCCTGGTTCTGCTTTTAAGACACAACATATCCATACAAGTATAGGATCAAACAGTTCAAAAGCAACAACAACAATGATAATATTCATAATAATAATAAAGTACTGACAGAGGTGTTTTTAATATTTTCTTGATGTTGACATTTTTTCATAAAGCTAAAAGCCTCAAATAAAACCAGATTAACAGGCAGCAAAGGAAATCAGACTGTTTGTTTTTGAGTGTAGTGCCTGAAGAGGGCGCTCGTACTCTGCAGGAAAAAGAGCAGCGTTCACTCTGCAGCGTCTCATCTGCTCCATGTCGTAGCCACACGGCAGTAAGCACTGAACTTCACCAGCCCTGACAGCTGATTGTTTACACACAGTTTTCATTTCCCTATGATCCCTGAAAGTAATATTAATTGAAGTAATGCTTCAAACTAACTGAGCTGTTTCAATCATCCAGTCAACAATACAGCAGTGGAAAAGGTTTCGGTGTTTTAGGACATATTAGAAAAACATTCTGCTCTTTAAAAGGTTCTAAAATTAAGACAAAATGAAGAAGTGTGTGTGGAAAATCTGAGAATAGCTTATGATTCATTAGCTTGTAGAACCACCTTTAGCAGCAGCAACATAAAGTTTGTCCAGGATAAATTTAGCAGTCACTACATCATGATGCAGGAATCTTTGCCCTCTCACTTTTACAACTTTGCTTCAGTTTATTGCAGTTTGAAGTCATCTGTTTATGCACAGCTCTGAAGGTCCTGGCACAGGACTTCAATCAGACTGAGGTCTGGAATTTGGCTCGTTGCAGCACCTTGATCCTTTTCTTTTTCTGCCATCAAATTGTAGATTTGCTGCTGCATTTGGGATCATTGTCCTGTAGCATGAGCCAATAGGTGTTGTACAAATGGCTTCATGTTTGACTCTAGACCATGAACTCCTTTGCATACAGAGGAGTTCATGGTCCACTGAATGGCTTGAAGGTGTCCAGGTCTTGTGACTGCTGAACAAGCTAAATCATCAAACTGCCACCACGGCACAGCCATGCACATGACTGTTTATGAGGTTGGGGAAACCTGCAGTCAGCTGAGACTGAAGAAGTCACTTGGATGAGCAACGAAAAGTTTCTCCCACGAAACGCTACGTCCATATGAACAGAACCAATTTTCTTGGAGAGCCAATCTCCTAGCAACCCTTCCAAACAACCCAAACGTATTCAGTGTTGTTCTTATTGTGTTGTCATGAACTTTAACCTCTATCATGCTAATCAAGGTCTGCAGAGTCTGAGTTGTAGCTCTTGGGCTTTTGCATGTTCTCTGAGCATTGCACGCTATGACCATGGGATTAAATCCTGGAATGTCCACTCCTGGGAGTCCTGATAACTTTTCTGGATGTTTTCCACATGAGAATAATCTATCTCACTGCAAGATGATGGACCGTAGATTATTTGGAAATGGCCTTATAACTATTCTGAGACTGACGGGCAACAATAGCTGCTTCTCTCGAGATTATATCTTTCCTTTTGGCGTTGTGTTAACACACTGAAAGGTTCATCAACCCAAAACTGCTTTTACCCATCTGGAATACAATTATACTGAGTTTCTTTACACTGACTCTAGCCAGATGTTTAACGCAGCCATAACAAACTGCCTACAAAAATGATGAACCTTGGCTACACATCTGCTTCTGAATTGACGAGGTCCTCAGCGACCACCCAGAGTGTCAGAGTAGGGCCCTACCTCATCCCAACACTCAGCTTACACATTGGCTCCCCACAGATGCTGAATCCTTACTGTACACTCTTTAGTAATACCAACTTGGTCCTCAATGCCACAAAAAACTATGGAAATACTTCAGGAGAAACAGATGTGACGCTCAGCCTATATACATGAATAGCAGTTTTGTGGAGAGGGTCTCTGACTTCAGATTTCTGGGCCTGCACCTGGATGATGATCTATTCTGGAAAACTAAAATCACATCACTAGTCAAGAAGGTAAAACAACACCCTAGCTGAGGTGCTGCTTGTTCTTCTACAAATGCTCTTTTGAATGCACAGAAGATCATCACAGTTGCCACAGTAAAGCCCACAGTCTCCCAAAGGACGCATCCCACCCAGCTCTCTTTGCACTCAGTGGGACTTGATACAATTAGGTTTTAGCTTTTGTACAATGACAATAAATATTGTGACTCTGGTTGTATGCAGGTGGTTATCTGATCATCATCTTACTGATCATCAGTTAATTAACTGCATTTGATT